ATATATATGTGTGTGTGCGTGTGTGTTTGTGTGTGTGTGTGTATGTATGTATGTGCGGGTGTGTGCGTGCGTGTGTTAATATATAATTGAAGTAAGATATGAAAAGCATGTACTCCCGCTATTTTTTTTTCTACTACTTGAACCGTATGTGTGAGCAATATTGATGCGAATCATGTGTGTAGACAATCTCCTTCCTTTACCTTGGCCTTTTACTGTATGGCTCTTACTGTTCGTGATCTCATCATATCCACAGTCACATTGAGTGCTATCATATCAACTTGTTCGCTCACACTCGTGAATGTCGGACTGCCTAACAAATTCCTCAGGTCGGGCATGCTTTCAGTGACTCTACGCCAGGACATTCACCTTTTCTAAAACTGTACTTATCCGTATGCACCTATACTATTACTCTACTCACTCCATATAAACCTATACTACAACTGTACTCTCTCCGTATATACTTATACTGCAAATACTCTTACCGAATATACTTATACTATAACTACTCTCTCCGTATTTCCTATACTATACCTCTACTCTCTCCGTATATGCCTATTATATAACGACTCTCTCCGTCTATGCTTATACTATAACTACCCTCCCCGTATATACTTATACTATAACTACTCTCTCCGGATATACCTATACTATAGCTCTGCCCTCTCCGTTTTTACCTATACTATAACTCTACTCTCTCTACGTATACCTATACTATAACTACTCTCTCCATATATACCTGTATACCTATACTATAGCTCTGATCTCTCCGTATGTACCTATACTATAACTACTCTCCCCGCATATACCTATACTATAACTCTACTCTCTCCGAGTATACCTATATTTTGACTACTCTCTCTATATATGTCTTTACTCTAACTCTATTTCCTCCATATATACCGTGTACGCAATAGAAATGCATTCGCTCGCTCACTGGCAGCCATGAGCATCAGCCACTATGTGTTGGGAATCGGAGATCGCCATTTATCCAACGTAATGTTTGACACGTCCAGTGGAACCATAGTGGGTATCGATTTTGGCCATTCACTCGGTATGTGTATCTATGTATATGTGTATCTATGTAGTGTGTGTGTGTGATGATGTGTATCTCTATGTCTATGTGATCTATGTGAGTGTCTGTGTGTGTATCTATGTCTATATGTGTTTTACATATATGTATGTGTGTGGTTGAGTATGTATGCATGTGTGCATGTGTCCGTGTCTGTGTATATTTGTGTGTGTGTGTGTGTGTGTGTGTGTGTGTTTGTGTTTGTGCATGTTTGTGCATGTGTATGTGTGTATACGCCCATGTGTTATTTTATATGGGTAAATATTCGGGGGGGTTCGCACACGTGCATTGTATGCCTTACTGGTTGGCTTACGAGTATCTGTCGATCGATACGATCGCCACTCCCCATGACATGAGCAATGCTTTTACATGCAATGATACGACAGTGACACCTGACACCATTTGCCCATGGTTGCAGACTCGACTACTGGGATGTTGTTCATAATATTGTTCATGACCCATGTCATCTACTGCGAGACTTAAGCAGAGTCAAACACAGTCGGCATCTCACATCACCTGGTGCCATGGGAATAGTATGACACGAGTCTGACACTTTACAGCCCCTGTCCTATGTACCTCGTACAGCCACGTTGACATTGCCCGTGCATGGATGTGGAGATGGCTCATCACCACGTTCATTTATGGATTGACACCTATCACCTCTTTCCGCGCACAGGCTCGGCGACTGTGACACTACCTGTACCTGAGTTTGTGCCATTCCGGTTGACGGGGCAGATGACGGGCTTTTTGCATCCTCACAGCGCCAACGGCCTGATACGCGTTGCCATGGTTACCGCAATGAGTGCGCTACACGATCAGCGAAATATCATCTTGCGCATTATGGACGTGTTCGTACACGAGGTGAGTTACCGCATATGACAGTTGTTGTGGGCGGGTCACCCCGGCGAGTGCAGCGATCAATACAATCTTGCTTACTTGCCCATAGACGTGTATGCAGTTGAATATTTTTGGTCAGTATGCCTCGGCCCTCTGGACTGGAGGGCTGATTTTGAGTCTTTATTTAATGGCTTCGTGCGGATTTATTGGTATTATTTCTTAGAGGTTTGGCGTCACCCCGGTGTAGTGGCTGTGTCCCGGAAGCACGGGAAGTCCACTGTGCCTATGTATCAATGCGAAACTCTTAGGTGTGAATGGGCTCGACGTGCCTGTCCTCTTCTCGCTATCTATTATCTACACGTATTTATTGCTGTCTTCGTATGCGTTGGCGACACTTTTGACATGGCAGTGTCATAACAAGTCCGTTGTATACCTACCGCGCTAACCCTGTGCTCTGTGCTATTTATATCTCAGCCACTGGCAGAGTGGGAGTCCATGGCCAAAAGACAGCACACGTCGGGCGACACTGACGCGCAGATTGAACCCAATTGGTATCCAATGCAAAAGGTACTCAGTACGTGAGCATGTTAAGTATTTTATAGGGTTTCAGGGGTTCGGGCTTGTATGAGATGTACAGAGTTATGAAATATGGTGTGTTGTACTGCTTGACGTCAACGATTTTTGCAATATGGGATATGTAATAAAAATGATGCCTGATCGCTTTTCCGTACTATTATAGGAGTGTCTCAGTACAAACCGATCAGTCTGTATTATATATGTATCATGCCGGTGATTTTTTATTCAGAGATTTACCAATTCATGCACTTCTCCTATATATATTGTTTATGTGCGAGTAAGCACTGTTATCGTATCCGTATCATATCATTGATTTTTCCAGATATTTACCAACTGATGCGGTCCTCAGATATACATAATATATGTGCGTCCAGCCAATCCATCAACACACTGAAGATCCACTTGTATTTTGATCTACTTTCAGATTCGCACCGTGCAACAGAAACTCGACAAGGCGCACCCCTCCATGATTATGACAGAAGAGGCGAAACGCAATCCGAACTTCCACTCTCACACCGTATGTTTCTGTTATTTGTATACATATATATATATATATATATATATATCAATGTATATATATGTGTGTGGTGTGATGTGAGTGTGTGTGTGTGTGTAGTATAGTATATATATATATATATATATATATGTATATA